TCCTAGGGATGTACCCTGGAGATGTTGCTGATATGTACTATGCCATATGTACAAGAATGTTTTTGGCAGAAGGATTTGTAATTGACCCAAACCAAATGCTTTTCAATAGTAGAGTGGATCAATAGTGGTATATCCATACAACAGAATAGTATGTAGCAATGAAACTGTATAAACTAAAGTCATACACAATGAAATGGTTGGATCCTACAAACACTATCTAATAAAAAAAGAAAGTCACAAAATAATACAGACATTATGATTCTTCCATATAAAGGTCACAATCAGATAAAGCCCAACTACATCTTTAAGGATGCATGTAGGTGGTACAACAAAAATGAAATCAAGAAAATTATTGGGTTGTTGGAAAAGTCATGACATATTGTTTCTATGTTTTTCATTGCAAAAATGCGTCATGACTTTTCCGACAACCCAATATTTCTGTAGAGGCCAGGAGAGTGGTTACATCTGGAGGGAGGAAGAGGCCTGGGCCTGGGAGAGGGTAGCTGGGCTGGAAGCTTCAGGGGTGCCAGTGATGCTCTATTTCTTAAGTGGTATTTGCTTTGCAACCATATTACAACTATACATATATGTGTTACATGCTTTTCTCTGTTTTATTCACACACAAAAAAATGTTTTAAAACATAAATGTTTGACACAATTTATTTAATTCTCCCCGCCCTACTCCATCACTCCCCCCCACCCCATTCCACATTTGGGAATCACTTTGAAATGTATCATTAGTCCTCGGAGGCATGAAGATTCTGATCACCAACTTTAGATTCTTTGGGTAACCATAAGAATGAAGTAGATCTAGGAAAAAATGGGACAATAACATTCAATGGTAGCCATAGGGAAACAGTAGGGAAGTGGAGTAAACATCCATTAGTGTACATTTAGCAAATGCAGTCATCTAAATTATCTAATAATGAGGGCGTCAGTAAGAAAGAACAACAGATGACTGAATGGACTGCATTCAGTAGACATCATTTAAGATTGGATGGTGCATGTGGGCATGTGAGCATGTGTGCACACACACAGCCACACCATTGGAAGATTTCAGCTAGAGAGAGGGCCTCAGGGAGTACCACCCATCACCCTGGTCTAGCCACGTATCCTCAGATACATGGATGCGTCTCATCTCCAGACCTCTCCAGCAATGCCAGACTATGGGAAAAGCACCAGAAACATCCATCCACAATATGAATAAAAGAGCCGAAACCAAGGCTTGTCCTTTGGATGTTTCCGTTTTCCTGGGCTGATGGCATCTGTACAGAGTTTTATTAGCCAAGCAGAATCACAGGAAAAGGGATGCTCTTTAGGGTTATTTCTTAGAGATGATTTGAGTGTTCTGAAGTTTATTTCCTGGAGATGGCCGCATTACAAGGACTAAGGAAGCTATATTGCTGCATTAGTATTGATAAAGTATCTCAAGAAGCCGGGGTTGATTTTGATAAGCGTTAAGAATGCCCCAAACAGGAAACAACCTAATATCCACCAATGGTAGAATGGGTAAATAAATTGTGGTTTATTCATAAAATGAAATAGACTTGACCCTACCTGTTTATTCCAACTAGTTATTATCACATTATCAGACAAGTCTGTATTACTCAAAGGTTTTAATACCAGAGTTATCGCTATAATTAAAAAAGAAGTGATAATGAAAGGGCCCCCAAACTGCTGTACAAAACAGTGCAGTTGAACTTTGATTCTTGTGGTAATGACAGGACGGATAGGCCACAAGAATACTCACAGCTGTCTCAGCACCACACGGGTTGGCTGTTTTTCTTAGACTTCCAATGATGGTTAGATAGAAACCAGGAAGCCACGCAGGGCTACCCTCCCAGCGTGGCATTGAGATCGAGGGTCAGACCAGTGTGCTCTCTCACCTGTGCCACCTGCTGAGACGTGGTGTGTGATACTCTGCTTCACACCGAGCTAGCCAAACGGGTCGGGAACCTTGCATCTAGATTTAGCAGTTCTTGATTATTAATCGATTTAAACAAGGAATCACACTTTTTTCTTTGAAAATTTAATAAAATATTTGATACAAAGTATAGCATATTAATAAAACAAATACTGGCCACTAATAAAATAGAAGCTACAGATTCAGTTGAAGACCTCTGTGGGGTCTTACAATCCCAGACCACAGCCTGCCTACCCAAAGGTAACCACTAGTCTGAAATTTTGCAGTTGTTGCCTTTTCATAAATACATTCGTGTCCCTGAATAATAACTTATGCATATTTCATTTTGCTTGTTTTCACTTGATTCTAGAATAGAAAACACTCCTTGTTTTCTACCATTGGTCTGGGGACCACACTTTGAGAACCACTCCTCTAGACCAGGGGTCAGCAAACTTTTTCTGTAAAGGGCTAGATAGTAACATTTTTTACTTTATGGACCACATGGCCTTTGTTAAAATGACTCAACTCTCTGTTGTAGCATGAAAACAACCACAGAAAAATACATAAAAAAATGACTGTGGTTGGGTTCCAATCAAATTTTATTTACAAAAATATGCCATGTTTGGCCAGGGGCCATAGTTCGCTGACTTCTGGTCTAGATTGATGTTCCCACTCTCATCCTGGCCACAAGAGGTTCCTTTTGCTTTCCTGCAGGCACATACAGTCAATTGAAAGGGTTTAAAATATTGTAATGAAAAATTTTAGATGTTACATAGCAGAAAACCTTTCAGGATTGTCATCTCATCGTATTACCAGAAAAAAAGTCCTGCATTTAAATTTCTACCTGTTGAAAGAATTTAGAGCAAGAATTTTCTAGTGGATTTTTTTTTCTATAAGTCAATCTCTTTAGTAGGCCATGGAAAGTGTATGATTAGACCTAGAATCTTTTTCCACCCTCTAACCCTACAGAACATACCTGCCTACATTACTCAGTTACCTCAAGAGCCTGGAACTTGCCTTTCTGTCTCATTCCCTCATGCCTTTGTACATATTTTTCCATTTTCCAGACTGCCCCACAGTAAGCTTAGCAAATTCCTCCTATTCCTCTAAACCCTCCTTAAAAGCTCTGCCTTGGAATACTTCCTAACTTATTTTATGAGGCTAACATTTTGATACCAAAACCAAGCCAGGACAACATAAAAAAAGAAAATTACAGGTCAATATCTCTGATGAACACATATGCAAAAATTCTAAACAAAGTACTAGAAAAAAAAAGAAAAGAAGATAATACATCACGATCAAGTGGGGTTAATTCCAGGGATGCAAAGATGGTTCAACATACACAAACCAATCAATGTGATACACTGCATTAACAAAAGATAAATATCATATGATCATTCATGCTAATAGATGCAGAAAAAGAATTTGATAAGATACAACATCTATTTATGATTAAGACACTTAATAAAATGGGTATAGAAGGAAAGTATTTAAACATAATAAAGACCATATATGACAAGCCCTCCACTAATATACTCAATGGTGGAAAACTGAAAGCCTTTCTTTAAGATCAGGAAGAAGACAAGGATGCCCACTTTTGCCATTGTTATTCAACATAGTACTAACATAGTACTAGAAGTCCTAGTCAGAGCAATCAGGCAAAAGAAAGAAATAAAAGGCATCCAAGTTGGGAATAAAATAAAACTGTCACTATTTGCAGATGACATGATTCTATATATATATATATATATATATATATATATATATATATATATATATATATATATATATATATATATATATAGAAAACCCTAAAGACTCTGCTAAAAAACTAATAGAAACAATAAACGAATACAATAAAGTTGCAGGATACAAAATCAATGTACAAAAATCCACTGATTTCCTATATACCAACAATGAAATACCAGAAAAAGAAATTCAGAAAACAATTCCATTTGCAATTGCAACAAAAAGAAAAAAATACCTACGAATAAATTTAACAATGGACGTGAAGGACCTATACACTGAAAATGATAAGACATCGTTGAAATAAACTGAAGAAGACACAAAGAAATAGAAAGATATTCCATTTTCATGGATTTGAAGAATTAACATAATTAAAATGGCTATATCACCCAAAGCAATATACAGATTTAATGCAATCCCCATCAAAATCCCAATAGCATTTTTCAAAGAAATAGAACAATTTTCAAATTCGTATGGAAACACAAAAAATCCTGAGTAGATAAAGCAATCCTGAGAAAAAGAACAAAGCCAGAGGTATCAAGCTACGTGATATCAAATTACACAAGGCTGCAATAATCAAAACAGCATAGTATTGGTAGAAAAACAGACACATAGACTGATAGAACAGAACTGGGAGCCCAGAAATAAACCCAAACATATATGGGCAACTTATTTTCCACAAAGGAGCCAAAAATATACATGGACAAAGGAAAGTTTCTTCAATAAATTGCGCTGGGATAATTGGAAAGCCATGTGCAAAAGAATGAAACTAGACTGCTATCTGTCCTATGCGTGCTCCCTCTAATCATGCTCATTATTACATCTGTTGTACTCCACTGCTATTGCTGGTTTTCAGGAATGTCTCCTTGCTCGGCTATAAGCAGCCTGAGGATGGGACCTTCAAATGCCCACTGTCTGGCACATTGAGTTTTACTCAATAATTTTATCTATTGACTTTAGAAAATTTGAAAAAAATGGCTAAGTAAATGAATAAGTATTTAGGGAATGGGGTTTTAAACAAACAACTTGTTTAAACCCTTGAGGTTTTAATCTTAGTCAGTAATCACTAGCCAACTTACAGCCTCCTAAACCAGTCTTAGATTTATTATTCTCAGGTAGTGAAATCTACATACAGTCCACAGTAAAACACGCAAGAACACAAACTACCGCATGCCTCACACCCAACCAGCATCAGGGAGGCCATGTATTGTCTCTAAAATAAAACAAAGACACAGTGTTTTGTTTCTCTTTTATTGCAACCCATTGCAAGGTCAAAAGAGTCACAGAAATATAGAAACCGGGTGAATTTCCTTTATCCACTCAAAAAGACATTAAAGACAAAGGACCAGAATTTTCCACTACAGCAATATATTTCATAGTCTTTATTCTGAAAATACTGTTGATATTTTGGAGAGGATGAAAGCCCTGCATTAAACGTGTTCACATATGTTTATGACATTCTAAGCAAAAAAAGAAAAAAAAAAGAAAAAAAAGAAACTCTATATCGCCCAGAAAAATCATTTTAAGCCTCATTTCAAAGCATCTAATGAGAACACATTCAACAACCATCACAGGATCACTGAAGGTAACACTTTTTCTGGTTGTTTTTTGAGATTAATGCTTTGAGGCTTGATATGATACTTCTATAGATTTCTACAAATATACCAAAGCAGTTTTCCAGGTTATGTTGCATCAGGCTTTCTGGATTAGTCAACATCTTAAAGAATAAGTGCAAGTCCCCCCACCCCCCACCCCAAGCTAAAGCATGGTATAGTGCTGTACTTTAGATTCAAACACCGCAACATTAAACAGAAAAAAAATCAATTATACACTTCTGAAACCATGTGACAAACAAACTATAACACTCCAAAGATTATTATTACAACTTTGAACTGAAATGGCACCATCTATATCATCGATGGCTCTCCCTTCTTTTGTCTTTTTTTTAACTATTTAAAATATAGTATGACATATATAAAAATTAAACTTTTGCTTATTCACTCAAGCTACTATTACTATACATACTGTCTTATAAATTAGTTTTGGATTAAAAACCAGTTAAAATATTATGATTTAAGGTATTTTTCAATGGAGGGGAATGAATATGAAAATGATATAGTTCGATGTGTAGGAAGAACTACTGTTTATGAATAGTAAACAGCTTTTTTCCTTATACAAATTTTATCCCTTTCAAATTAAATCAGTAACCCATTTAGTGATGGAAAAAAAATACCCTTGGTGGTTACTGACTAGATTTTCCTAACTGATTGAGATTAAAAGCTAGAAAATGCCACATCAGAAACACATTGACATAATCAAAAGAAACAGTTGTTTACATTTTTTGGAGTCATTATAAATAAGTGAATGGCATTTGAATGTAAAGCTATTCTTTGTTTCTTATAGCTAGTCTCATTTCAGCAATATGGTTTAACAACTCAAACCTTAGTGTACCTGTTCAAGTCCAAAAAACAGCTATGACCACATTGGGGAAGAATAAATAGCAAAATCACAAGTCAAGGTTTTGTATCTAGCTCTACTGGGAAAGATAATCACTCTTTAGCATAAAAAGGCTCCCTGCGGTCTTGATTATAAATCTAGACACAGGAAAGGTTATTTGAGCCTGAGTCCCTACTTTGAATTCATTGTAAAGATGTGTGAAATCAAAACATATATTCATTTACTGATAGATATTTTCTTAAATGAAAGGTGTCAATTTTTATACAAAGAAATACTTATTTCTGACAAGTGTAAACAGAATCTTAATGAAAAGATTTTATAATTTTTCTTCTTAACTCATACATTAACCAGCAATAGGTCTTTGCAGTAGCATAAGAACGATTCAAAAAATAACATGCAAATATCCAAAAACCTGTTCTAAGCCCAAAGTAAAGCAAAAAAAAAAAAAAAGATTGTTTACTTGTATCTCACTCATTAATCTTCTATTAATGTGACTACTCCCAAATCTCAGAAATATAGTTTCATAATTACCCAAATTAACAAAAATAATTAAATGATCTGTAGGTTTTTAAAAAATAACTTCACACTATGAATTACATTGGTGGCTTTAATGTGGATAATGCTAAGATTAGCTCCAATTATCAATTAAATATATCCAGACCAGTTACTATCCATAAAATAAAAGCTAACATAATGTTAACGTAAAACTCAACTACAATATTTAGTATTCAACACAACACATTTGTAGAATAATGAATACTTATCTTTTGTGAATTGGCCAGGGAAGTTCAGATTGTTGCCTCCATATAAAAATTTCACAAAAGGCTTTATCCTCTCTAGTCCCTAAGTCATCGACCAGATAGCAAGTTGGTCACCTGTGGACACACTGGGTTAGGCAGAGCCACAGTGAGTGACATCCTGGAGGAAGGCCCCTCTGTCAGAAAATGATCCAGAGAGAAACTGCCCTGGTGTATGTGTACATGAGAGTATGAGAACCTATATATGCATACGTGCTTGAAATTTTGAAAAGGACTGGTTTCCAGGCTTCTAATTAGTAACATCACTTATGCTCTGGTTGTCATCAGTACAAGTACACAATTCTATCTCATCAGAAAAGAAGGCAGTTGCCTTCAATTTGGGGCATCACCAAGTGGCAGTAATTAGAAGTTCAAAATAATAGAGTCATTTTTTTTTTATTCCATCGTAGGAATAGTTTTTTGGTTGTTTTTTTTTTTTTAGAGAAATAAGCTTTTGAATTTAAAAACTAAAAGGTGTGTGGCTTTCAAAATCTTTAATTTTAAAGAAAAAAAACCAGCTCACCTGGGAATAAATAGCAATTGCGCTTATGCTATGCAATAGGCAAATGAGACACAAATATACACACTCGGGTACACACATAGACATGTGACAGTTAAAACCTTTCCAAGAGGTCACCCACCCCAAATCGACACTTCCTGTCTGCCCTGCTGAATGGTCCCAGGGGACCTGAGCTTGGGTTGGAGTGTTAGGAGGAGGCGGCGGACATGTTGGGGGTCCAGCCCATCTGATAGGCTCTCTCCAAGGTCCTCTTGCAGTCCTGCAGGACGGTGCTGAAGGTGATGTGAGGGTACTGCTGCACCAGCTGTTCCACTGTCACTTCGTTGACCTGTAACCAGAGAAGAGCCACCATCACACACAGGACCACTGAAACCACCAGCTGCCCACGTTCACGGGCTCTCATTCCTTCTCAGCAGTGTGACGAAGGGTTTACTGAGAAGACGCGCATCCCTTTTTGTCTGACCTCCCTGGTTTCCTAAGTACCACATTCGCCCTTAGGTACCTTTGAAAAGACACAGGATATCAAGAAATTAAATGTGTTTTTTAGAATCATAAATGACTGTGGCTTGCCGAGATCCTAACATGTCCATTGAAAATCTAGTGCTTGGGAGGTAAGGCTGCAGTGAGATAGCATTTGAATGTGCGTTTCACTTTGTCATCACCCTGACAGGCTTTTTAGCACGAAACTGTAGATTGGTGGAGAGGATACACAAGTTTCTAGATAGAAGAGTTGGGGAAATGTTTATTTTTCTTCCTTTTAAATGTTAAGGTATTGCAAGCTTCAAGTCCCTTTGCAAAAAGGGCTGAAATGTGAGGAATCAATAATTAAAACATACATGGCTGGCAGGTCAGGGATGGCCCCACTAGACCTTAACCATCAAAGATACCACCTTGATTCTTGATTAGACAAGGCAATCAGACAGACCTAATTAAAACTAACACCTTTACAATTGCTGTGCTGTGAAGGGATTAATTTGTCAATTATTTTTAAGCTGATTGCAGTTCATATCACAGAAGTAGACAGCTTCCTTCATCCTTTAGATAAATAAATGATTAACCTAAGAACCACAACTTTTAGGTAGCTTTATTTAAAATCTTTATTGAACACTTGGGCATTTTCAAATACATCGATATTTCATTTATACTCAGTAAGCTTGTCTGAAAGAAGGTGGTTGTAATACACGTTTTTGTGCTCCCTCCCATGTCTGTCCATTATTGAAAAGGATCAGGACCACCAGGAAAAACCTAAAACAACATCAAACCCTTGCTGTTTGCTTTGAAAGCCTGCTCAGAAGTATGATGACCATGACATGCAGTTGTCTGCACTATTCTGGAATAAACTGGAGTTTTCTGGGTGATTTGGGAAACCATGTTGTATATAATCATTTTTAAAATTGAGAGTTGGGCCGGCCGAGTGGCGCGATGGTTAAGAGCTGGCTTGGGACGCCAGAGGGCCCAGGTTCGGATCCCACATGAGGGCCAGTGACACTGCCCTCCACAGCTAAGATGCTGAACAATAGCTCAACCTGGAGCTGGGCTGCCTTGAGTCGCCGGCGACGGCATAGGCTGCAGCCCCTGTGGCAGTGGGTTGCCATGGGCTACCGTGTGTAGCCAGCAGCCGCAGTGAGCGGCCGTCCAGAAGCTGGTGACTGATCTGCCTTGCCCGGGAAGAGCACAATGATGGTGCCAACTTGGACCAGTGAAGCAACGTCCTCCACAACTAGACTGATGAACAAAAAGACAGCAACTTGTCTGTTCCCCTTCCCCCAAATCCCCAGCGCTGTTCCCATTGCCCAATTCCCCAATAAAAATCTTTTTTAAAAAAATTGAGAGTTGATGTTCACATTGTATTCATGATAGCCTTTGTCAGCATCTCTCTCTATTTAAGACTTGATTGTATTTAAATCAATTTTCATTCCAAATTCAACCAAACCATGTACTTAATTCTTTCTGTGATACAGATATGATATATAACATTTTGTTTTCAAAAGCAAGAAAATAATTTTGAATACGGGAAAGCTGATATACAAATTAGAGTTAATATGAATTCATGGTCATAAGAGGATTTTTAAGCAATATAATTACTTTGTTTTTTGAATTTATATTTATATTCTACGTCTTGCTTAAGTTGAGGCAGCTTACAACAATACACTTGGAAAGTCATGCATCAGCTAGCCCTACCTGTCTAGCACATTTTTAATACTATCCAGTCACCTGCCCTAAATTCAGATAATCAAGGTGTCCAAGTTCTGTCCGGCCTGAGGTCCTTGGCACATGCTGCTCTCTTTACCTGGAATTTTTATTTAATTCACTTCCCCCTTAAAACCACCTTCTCATGCCTACTTCCTACTCATTCTTCAAAAACATGCTTTTATTAAAGTATATAATCGGCATACAATATTATATTAGTTTCAGGTGTAGAACATAGTGACTTGACATTTACCTACTTTATGATGTGATCCCCACGATGTCTAGTAATTGTCTGTTACTATGCAAAGTTATCACAATATGATTGACTACATTCCCCTTCACCTTTTTCACCCAACTCATTTTTGAGTTCTTAGCTTCAATGTCATTTCCCCAGGTAATTCTAATCGCTGCCCTATTCCTGTTCCTCTCCCCAAATTAGATAAGGGTTCCAGGTCATTTACTCTTCCAATATTGCCTACTTTTCCTGCATAGCACTTATACTGTAAAGCCAGTTTATAACTGCTTTGTTTAATGTCTCTTTCTCCTGTTCTAACATAAGATCCATCAGAGTCATGATCATTTTTGTATCCATGAGCCAGGCCTCGTTATTTGTGAATGAATGTTAAACCAGCAACAAACTACAAATAAAAAAAAGAAACCCAAGAGCAAGGCAAAGCCAGACACCAGTGTAATCACGAACACCAAGGATTGCCTGAGGAATTCATATTCAGCTTAGGAATTCCCTCCTTCAGGAGCCTTCCCTAAGCCAGCTTATCTCTCCACGAGGCGGGTCAGGTACCCCTGCTCTGTGCACCTGTGGTTGGCACCCCGCAAAGTTTGCCTTTTATTTAAGCACTCTCACACTGCGTTACCATCACCTCTTTACTTGCCTGTCTCTTCCACGTGAACAAACGCCTCTGCCTTTTATTTTTCAGGCTATCGGATGGTGCACAAAGTAGAGGAGAAACATGGCAACTACAGTTCATACCATGGGCTTTACAGTCAACCAGAAACAGGTTTGAATCCTGCTTTCACCTTTACTTCTTTAAGATTTGGTTTCCTCAACTGTAAAAACAGGACACAAGTACTTCTATCATAGGACTGTTATAAAGGATTGAATGTAATGATATGCCTAACACTGTGACTGACAAAAAAAGATCAACAAATGGTAGCCCTTATTATTATAGCAGGCACAGGTATCACATGCATGAGTTAATTAACAATATGTTAGGGTGACACCTTCTCTACAGTGATGCTCAATATTGTTCTGCTCCTGAGGTATTTCAGAAATAAACCTTTAAAATGTAAGTTATAATGTTCAAAATAAAATAATCACAGAGCAAGAAGTAACCTTTAAAAAATACAACATATACAAGAAGAATCTATTTTCTCTTAATGCTCTCTGGAGGAGATTCCTGAACGTTCCTTAAAAACACACTTTAGGTTGGAAATGATTCATTCTCTGGAAATCCTCCCTTTTCTTTACTGGATGTTCCCCGTGCTACAGCCATAAACAAATCGGGAAGGACGCGGATCTCACTAAGGGAGAGCTGAAGTCAGTCGGTCAGAGGGGACTCTCGGAAAACCTGCACTGCATTGCAAAAGAAGTAAACATGCTCTAGATTCCAAGAACTGAATGAATGAGCAAAGTAACAGAAATAGTCTCAGAGGTATAGAGGAAAAACTGAGGTTGCTAGATAAGAGGAGGGTGGGGATGAGGGAGAAGGGGAAGGGATTAGACAGCATAAATAGGAAACTACAATATTGTGACAGGGATATGAGACAGTTTGGGGAATATAATCAATATTGTTGTAAATATTTTGTAGGGTGTCAGACGGTCACGTCTTGTTAGGTAGACCACTTCATGGATGGTGTAGAGGCCTGACCACTGCACTGTATATCTGAAGCTGCCGTTGAATAATATTATATGTCAACTATAATTTAATATATGTGTGTGTGTGTGTGTGTGTGTGTGTGTGTATATATATATATATATATAGTCACGGGATGTGGAGTATAGTGTGGGGAGTGGAGTCAATGGAAGTGTAATAGATATATACGACGTCAGAGGGGTAACAGATTGGGGGAGGGGGGTTATCACTTTGTGAGGGGTGAAATGTATAACTATTACATTGTTTTGTACACCTGAAACTGAAACAAAACAAAAGAAAACAAGGCAAAACAAAAATACCATGCTCTAAGCCACTTAGCATTCAAGGAACAACTAACTGAAAATAGATGGAATAAACAGGATGGAGAAGAGAAAACATGTAAACTCATTAAAGATGGGGACTGTCTTCTGTGGTACATCTTTTCTAAACTATGCAGGGGCCTGGATGAAGTTTTATACCTAGCGTTGACAAGCAATTTGCTTTGGAGGGAGGTCCAATTTTTAAAAACAGGAAATACCTCCATGTGATGTGTTTTGTAGGAAAAGATACAATTCACCCTAAGCAAACCTGATACATGAAGATATGGATTTACGAAGTATATAAACTGGAGAATAACTGTTCACTTTAAGTAAAGACTTTCATGGGAGGGTTAACTTATTTTGTCAGCTCTCCTAATGTGCTTCATATATCCTTTTATTTACCAAAATTCAATTTACCTATTCCTCTTGTATAAAGTCAGATACACCTGTAGTTGAGAATGTAGACTGTGTTAATTCCCTGGCTTTCATCGATGGGCAAGAATAGACAGTGCTTTGGCTTTGTACAGCTGTAAGAAAAACAGTACTGGTAATTCTCTGTGGACATAATGTGTCTTCTAAACAATCTTTTTTGCTAACTGTGCTGTGTAAATTTAGAAAACAAAGCAGTGGGGAAAATGCAAATATTTCACTTCAGAGCTTTGTTGGGTAGAAGTTATTCAGAGAAATACATGTGCTCCCACTAGGGAAAGCTCTATCTCTTACTTATAGTGTCCCCTGGCTATACAGTGTGACAAGTTTTATACTAAAGTTATTTTCATTTGCTCAGAAGTACAAATTATGCCCGCCTCTTTGTATAGTCTCTGGAAGAGTTTTGGTGCCTGGAGAAGGGGTTCAGTGTAAGACACCGGGAGGGTCCACATCATTTTAAATCATTATGCCTACATATAGATTTTGCAGACATTTTGTCATGCACGACTCCATTTGCT